GTCCTATCAAAAATCATGTAATAAACATATTTCTCATATAATATTATTGCGAAGATACAATTCAATTTAAGTTAACTGAGATAATTTTGAATTATGTCAGTTAGTTAAGAAATAAGTTTTTAAATGTTGTTGGTTATTTTTTAAGGGATAAAGTTGTGTGTTTTTCAGAACATAAATAACGGTTATAATTAATACAAGTTTAACATTATTCACTTATCAGGATCCAGTGTTATCGAACGAAGCGTTAGAATAAACGTAACATTAGAATAAACGTAACGATATATTTAAAATAAAGTTCTGGCTTTACTAAATTACTTAAATTAAATAAGTACATTCATTCATTTGGACTTAATTAATTTAATCAATTTTTCAAATTTAACTTTTAAATTTGTTTTTACGTGGCTATAAATATCTCAATTCCACCATTTGGACAATAAATCATTGTTAGTTATTACGGTTCTTTATATCATTACGCCATACATGACGGAATCAATTACTGTTGTAGTGTATTTAGTGTGTGTCAGAGTATATATATATACATATAGTATATTTTCTGACAGATTTTTACGACATAAAGGACACATTTAAGAACATCTATCTACAGTCAATCAGAAGAATTGAATATAGCCTCAAAATTAACAAGACAATGATAATATTTATTAGGCAATTACTTAGTTTCACATTTTGAATAGTGAGAGAATAGTCCATTATACAATCGATAAATCAGTTGTTCAAGGTAATTTTCTATCTTATTTCTCTTATTATGAAATCCCGTTTCTAATGGTTCACTCTTTATACTGTGAATGTAGCAACCACTATTTTCGGTCGCTACTTATATAGACAACTTATAGAGCTGAAAGAAGTCTATAAATCATTAGTGATATGCAATGATAGCAATGATAAAACATTCAGAGAATTCTTAGAATCAATTGTAGATTAATCGTCCAAGGCGAACTCAATTGTTCTATATAATCTCTAAGTCTCTAGTAACCTGGCTTGTCCAATTTTTTTAAACTAGTGCTGATCTAATGGCGATAAAGTGCATATATTTGTTCATATTTGATTTACTCTTTATATGATTCATGTGTTTGAACTTGATTTAATATAATATTGTGAATTTCTTGACTAAACGTCGTTTCTGATGTTTGAATATTTTCAGTGCTATATCCATAACTTATTAATATTCGATTTTTAGAAAAATGCATATAGTTACTTGCACAAGGTACACTAGGGCTTATCCACGTTGTAGTCCCATCAGCGGAATGTTGTCCACTTCCCGATATACTCGACCTCGCCCCCGAATTCGGTCCACGACCTGAACCACTTTGTTGATGAATATTTTCTTGCATATCAACATCCATATTAGAATTATTATTACGAATATTATTTGATTTTTCAATGAAAGTAGGATCTTGTTCAGTTGTTGTATCACTACTAGAATTTTCGTCTGAAGGTCTGGGTCGTTTGGCGGCTGGTTGGTTATCGGTTCCGGAGCGTTCTGCATCAAAATCTCTTTTTATAGCAGTATAATAATATCCACCAACTTTATAACTATCGTATATTTGTTTTGAAATTAATGCAGTACTTTTAAAATCTTGAAAATCACGATAACCTCCTTTACCTCGAGTATCTTTAATTTTATTCCACTCTTGAGCTAAATGTCTTTCTCTACTTGCATATATTAATTGACTTAATGTTTTTTCATTTTTTGACATACTTGGATACTGTACACCAAAAACACTTTCAAAACCATATTTTATAGACAAACCAGTAATTCCAGCTAATTCTGCTAAACTTCCATTACTTTTGTAATCGTCTATAAATGCTGAAATTGCCTTACGATCAGCACTTCTAATATCTTCTGTAGTTGTTGCTAATTCGTATTCAAGATCATGTACGTAAGCATCAAAATCAACTTCATCCACCGGTTCGTCGTCTTTGTAAATTGTATTTCCCGGACCTAAATAATTGTGATCAGGCCACGTGTATCCGTCACGTAATTTTAACAACATACTAAATTAATTTCTATTAAACAGTTCTATTTATATCAACCAATAAAAATATTTTAAACATTTTTATTTATATCAACCAATGAAAAAATTGTATCATGTCATCTCAAGTCATGCTAAACAACACGTGCAATGTAAAATATGTGTGAGGTAACAATTATAACACATTAACGACGACGACGACGACGACAGCTTGTGATTGGCTGACGCTAGCTGCGCAGTTTAGATTTACTAGTCATGGCTTAGCTAATCATGGCCTACGGCCGATAGCTGCCGACGTAAATCTAAACTGCGCAGCTAGCGTCAGCCAATCACAAGCTGTCGTCGTCGTCGTCGTCGTTAATGTGTTATAATTGTTACCTCACACATATTTTACATTGCACGTGTTGTTTAGCATGACTTGAGATGACGTGATACAATTTTTTCATTGGTTGATATAAATAAAAATGTTTAAAATATTTTTATTGGTTGATATAAATAGAACTGTTTAATAGAAATTAATTTAGTATGTTGTTAAAATTACGTGACTAATGAAAGTTTTTCATTACATAAACGGTTTTTCATTTTCAATAAATATTTATATAGAAATTCTTTAGATACGTATAATACATACATAGTATATTTATAATTGTAACATAATTACTTTTGACATAAATTTTGTATAAATTAAAGGATTTCAATTTATATGTTTGTTGATATTATTATTATTATTGTTTAAAGAAGGGATTGTGCACTGCGACCTAAAAGATCTATTGTGCCCCTTACCCGGGTTAGAGTGTTTCCCCAAGTCCGATTTCTTTAATGAAAGACAGTATTTAGCCTACCTTTCCCAGTCTTGAATCTTTATGATCCATGAAACACCCTCCTAGGTGTTTCTTCCGCTTGTGCATCAATGCCGAGCACTCCCCAAGCACATGGTATGCAGTTTCTCGCTCTTCTCTATAGTATCTGCAGTCTTTGTTGGATTGAATTCCTAACTTCGATAGGTGATTATTCAATCTACAGTGATTTGTTGATATTTTTAATATAAAATTTAGACCCAATATGAAATTCGGAAATGCTTACACTTTTTAATCTACTGTCCCTTTTAATGATTTTTTATTGATTAATATTATTAAATGAAGGGAATCATAGGCAGACCACATATAATTTATTATTATTTAAACATTTAAACGTTTAAAACAGATTCTATTATTCGAGCACTGGTTAATATCACTGATTTTCTGCTGTGCCTTAAGCCTTCATCACATATCAAAGCATTTTTGAAGGCAATCTATTAACTCCACATATAATAATCATATACATATAATAATCGTTCACCCAATATAAAGTGCTCTGTGGAAACGTGTTTATGTATATAATTATATGTATTTATATATTATTTTACATATACGTATATATATCAATATATTTCTTCTGCTATATCCAGTATCAGCTACCTTTAACTAACTTGCACTCTTTGAGTTCTTCTGCAGTGCCACTTTTATACAAAGTCTAACAATATTTCGTGGTAATTTCCGATCGCTGCAAATATCAGTACCGAAACGTAAACAGCTTCACATATTTAGGCAGCATAATATCGCCGGACGGTGGCACGCCAGCCCACATCCAAAACCGAATTAACAAAGCATGTTCCGCCTTTTCGCTACTGAATAAAGTAAGAAGGTCTTCAATACTTTCCCGTTATACCAAGCTGCGGTTATTCAACAGTAATGTTAAAAACGTTCTGCTCTACGGCTGCGAAACCTGACTCACTACCAACAACCTTTATAACAGTGTTTATATGGTATATTGAAAGTGGGATTTTAGAGTGCCGAAATGTGCTATTGATAAGCCAGTTTTCAGACAAATTGCGTGGCCTGGCGTGTTGGATGGTAGATGAAAAATGAGTTTAATAAAATAAATCAACAGTTTTGCCACCTCATCACACCTTTCAAAACCCTAAACTTGGGAAGCATAATTCATAATTGAGTTGACCGCAGCTTGGAAAACTTTGGATTTAACTGAAAGTCCTACCGTGTGCTGTTTATTGCTAGTTTTGATTCTTCTAGTCTCTTATTAATATCTCTTATCTCTTATTAATATCTAATATTAATATCAAGTCTCTTATTATTATTTGCATTACATGAAACACCTAAATACTTATATGACTTAACTACATTTAATTGTTTTCTCTTAAGACACAACTTTTCATCGTATGCAAGACGTCTTGTATGTTTTTTAAATATTATTATTTTTTACTTTGATATATTGACTTCTAAATGACTTCTATATGATGTATTACATATTCATTTCAGCAAGAAGAACCTTTCATCAATTTACTTGTTCCAGTTTTTAACCAATTTTTAACCAATTTTTTTACTGTTAGTCTTTAAAACACAAAAACATGTTGTATAATACCCGACTATTTGCATGTTCTTCCACTGTATCTTTCCTTTGCATTTCAGTTGCTATCGACTTCATCGATTCATCTTTCGCGACATTGATCTAAGCTTTCAAGCCATTTCAAGTGGTCTAGGCAAAATTTTTATAGTGATTTCTTTTAAATGATTGTTCCATACAATATATAATAGAACCTCATGCTTTGTGGTTTCCTTGAGAAGACAATAAACGTTTGTGTATTGTTCTTGTAGAAACATCATCTTGTGAGAATGATGCCTACATCTTTGAGAGTGTGGACGTTATGCTGACAAACGTTCAGACATCTAACAATTGTAAGATGTACCTTCATTTTTACTCTTCTAGAGGCAGTTTTGCTATATGTTATGTTATGCTCTTTACTCTATGATTTAAATCAACCAAAGACCATTGTTGTATATCTTTCTATTTCAAATAAAATACTTCCTCAAGTAGTGATATCAAGATTCTCCAATATTGTTGCTTTATCTAAATAAAACTCAATTATAACTTCTCTTATCACTTTTTTATTCGTTTATTCTTATATACTAGATACTATACTTAGTAAAATAAATTTTTTTTTTCTTATTACAGCACCATATCGAATCCCATAGATGGTCGACTGAATTTTGCACAAGTTGGCTTCTTAATAGCGTTTTGTTGGGTTTGGACGATACCATTTTCAGTGCTGCCTTTCTTCAAAATATGGGGTCGCTATACTGCGGGTAAGAATTAATCATTTATATTTAAAATAAATTATATAAATAAAATTGATTTTAAAATTGAAATGTTTAATAAATGTCATAGAGGGTTACCTAACCACCTGCAGTTTCGATTATTTGACCGACAATGACGAAACACGTCTCTTTGTGCGCTCCATGTTTGCTTGGGCCTACTGCTTCCCAATGATAATGATATGCACTTATTATACAAAGTTATTCTTGCATGTGCGGGATCACGAGCGCATGTTGGCCGAGCAAGCGAAGAAAATGAATGTGAAGTCCTTATCCGCGAATGCCAATACAGAGTCTATGAGTGTCGAAATGCGCATCGCCAAAGCCGCTATAATGATTTGGATGCTCTATGTTGTTGCCTGGACACCGTATGCAACTGTTTCATTACTGGGCACTTCTGATAATCGACAAGCGATTACTCCTTTTGTATCAATGTTGCCGGCAACAGCAGCTAAGGCGGTTTCTTGCTTCGATCCGTGGGTTTATGCAGCAAGCCACCCTAAGTACCGTCTAGAACTAGAACGTCGTTTACCTTGGTTGGGTATACGTGAACGTAACATCCAAGGTGGGGGCAGTGCAGCCACTTGCAATGACAGTGAAGCCGGTACGGTTATGGTGGAAAGTTGAATGCTCTTCTGTTTTTTTATTAGAAGAAAATTTGTTTTAAAAATATTAATAATATTAAATAAAGCTTGTGTAATTGAAATTAGTTCAGAAAGAACTACAAAAATGTAAAAAAAAATTAATATTAAATAAAGAAAAAAATTTGTGGGAGTTTTGAACATAAGCACCCAAATCTTTTATTGTATTAAAATAATAGTTAAATTCCAAATTATAATAGTTTTTGTGTTTGCGATCTAACAAGTTGTGACCCACTTAGTTTAAATGGCCAAGTATGACATGATATTTTACTCTGAATAAAATGCCAGGCGTGATCTGATATCTAGTTATTACCACATGTGTAAGTTTCACCAGCTGTTTATTTATTTTTTATACCTAATGAATTTTAAAGCTTATATGACCGATTTTTGTATAAATATAGCATTGTGTCTCTCACGCGCTGCCTGTACCCACATGATTTGGTACCGTCTGACATTGACCTCTTCGTGAAACTGCATAACCTTCTGAAGGAAGAAGTCATATTTTTGTCTCATATCGACATTTTTTAAGACTGTAACTTCAGACGCAATAACTTCGCTTCTACTTATACAAATATCATAATATTTTTATTGTGAATCAGTGTTGAATCTACCTTACCAACACATATGATATCCAAAAACTACTTCCTTCATATATATATTTTTAAGAAATCCTGTTTGTAAGGGACGCCAACTTTTTCAGTCTGTGACACTAAACATTCCTACGGTCATTATAATGTCAATTTTTGGGTGTTTGGAGTGTTTGCTTATATGCCAAGAAGGGAGGCATTATAGTACATTGGAGTGAACGTATTATGATATACAATACGATTATTAAAGAAAAAAGAACAATTCTTTGTAAATTACAAAAAAATGTGTCAGGTTATTTTGAAGAGTAATTATTAAATAAAGTTCAAGGATTTTAGCTTAAATATTAACTTGTTAATATACCATGTACCACGCCAGTGAATGTTTCCATATTTTCCACAAACCTTTTTGGAGGATTTCAATATCTGAAGCATTGGCATTACTGAACACCTGGATCTTATAAGTCCATATTGGTTAAATGTTAAATGAAAGCACTTTGCATTCTTAGTATAGGCAGACGTCCTCCTCCTGAATCATTCTTAAGCAACTTTGGTTATCTTCGTACTTCTGATAGTGCGATAAATTCCGCTTCTGTTGATAATAGTGCCACACTAGTTTGTTTACGACAAGACCATCTCACTATAATTCCATTTACAATAAAGACGTAGCCACTGTTGGATTTTCGATCGCTGCAATTTTCAGCCCAATTTGTGTCTGCGTAGCCGCGCTAAATTTGCTGTCCCACGCAAATACCGTTGAACTCGCTTTAACTCATTCCAGTCATTTTGTGTTGGTGTCGAAACCTTTTGTGCTAAAATTGAAACGGCTGCCGTAATATCTGGTCGAGTGTTAACTGATATGTACAATAAGCATCCAAGTAGCTTTTAATATTGGGTATTAATATTAAGTATCCAACACTACCCTTTCGTCGCTACTTTCATCTTTTCAATTGTTTACATCCATTGGTACGTTAGAGAATTTTGCTTCATTAAATCCGAAGTCAGACACAACTTTATTAATATACCTTGTGATCAAAAAAGAACTTATTCGTTCTTTATCCAATCGGTAAATTTTTTTTATTTTCACGCTGGCAACACTAATATACACATTCTATAAAAGTTTAACGCATATCGTATAATTAGTTTTTGTTTGGGGTCTATACAAAGAAGTCGAAAAATTTTCGTGTGGCGATTTTTAGCTGAATTTTATTCAAAAAAAGCGTCGTTGTGATGTGGCCAAAGAGATGATTTCCAACGCAGATAGTGACCTCACATCCCACATTCATCAAACGCATCATAACTAGTGATAAGACATGGGTCTATGAATTTGACATGCCCACCGCCCACCAAACAACAATCGACCGAATGGTGCTTCGAAGGTGAGCCGAAACCGAAGAGATAACGCCAAAGTCGATCCAAAATCAAGGTTATGCTGACTGTTTTCTTCGATATTCGTGGTTTCGTGATGTGGTGCACTATGAATTCCTTCCGGACGGTCAAATGGTCAAACGGTCAATAAGGAGTATTATTTGTCCGTTATGCGTCGTTTGCGTTAGGCCATTCGCAAAAAGAGGCCAGATTTATGGAAGGAAAACTCATGGATTTTACACCACGATAACGGACCGGCTCACACAGCGTTGGTTATGTCGCAGTTTTTGGCCAAAAACTCCACCAATATCACAACCAAGCATCGGACTCTCCAGATATGGCCCCGTGTGACATTTTCCTCTTCCCCCGACTCAAATTGCCATTGCGAGGAACGCGTTTTGAGACCATAGAGGCCATAAAAGAGAATTCACTGCGTGAACTAAAGGCAATACCTTCGGCGGCCTATAAAACTTTTATATAAAATTGGATCAAGCGTTGGCATGCATGTATTGACGCAGGAGGAGAGAAAGAAAATTATTAAAAATTAAAATTTTGAGTTTTTTTTTAACTTCTCGTTCATTTTGGATCAAATGGTATGCTGAATTGATAGAAATTATCACTACTTTTTGTAATCTCTATTCGGAGATACTGTTTTATTTTACGCATATCACTAGTTTTTGTAATCTCTATTCAGAGATACTGTTTTATTTCACGCATATCTTCAATTTCAAATTTTGATTTGAGGACGTTTTTGACTTCTGCAATTGCTCCCAATGTCTTGGCCGCTAGAATCATGTCGTCGACATAAATTAATAAAAAAACATCAATTTTCATTAATCTTCTTGGAGTATAAACAAGCATCAGCTTTGCCTTGTGCGAGTCATGCAACTGTCAATACTGTATGTAGTATATCGTTCCATAACTTAGCAGATTGCTTTAAACCATATAGACCTTTTTTTAATACACATACTGTTTCATTGCTCTCTTCAAAACCTGGCGGCTGCTTCATATACACTGTGTCCTTTAACTCACCATTTAGGAACACTGTTTTTGCATCAATATACCTGACCAAGTGTACCTCTGTCGTGCCACTGATGCGAATATTTGGTCACAATCAGCACCAAATTTTTGTTAAAATTCTTGGGCTACTAATCGAGCCTTAAACCGCTTTACCTTGTCGTGTTCATTAGTTTTTAACCTATATAGCCACTTGCATCCTACTATATTTTTATTCTCTTGTAATTTAAATAACTCACATCTTTTATTTTTCTTTAATGAAGTCATCTCGTCTTCCATTGCCATGACCCATTGAGACCCTTCTTTGCTAGATGAAGCTTCCTTCAAGCAATTTTCTCTTTAGCTGTATTAATTTCCTCGATCAATCTTTTCGGTGGTTTACCTTTTGTTAATCAAGGTGATACCTTTTCTGGTACTACGTTGGTATCATTATCATCAGCTCTTTTCGAAGTTAATCACATGTTTTTAGATGTACACCAATTAAAGTCTACTGAAACTCTACTAACACGACAACCAAAAAATTTATTTTAAGTTAATATAACGGAAAACACAAGTGACTTATGTCCTTCTCAGGGCTACCGTCCGTTCTACTGATGCTAATGTCTTACATTTCTGTTCTACTTTCAGCGAATCGGCCCATATTTCGCTTCCGTAGAATACGACAGAGTTGGTTGTTGACATTAGCAATTTTCGTTTGCTCAGCGTTGGGCCGCCAACGTTTGTTATTATGGTAGTCTACTCAGCGATGCAGTAGCTTGTACTGCCTTACTTGCAGCTTATTCCTTTTGGGTATATTTCATATAAAATCTATTTTCACATATATTTATCTCGACTCGAAGTATCTCTGTTTTTTCCGTTGCAAGTCTTAGTCCATGATCATCGAGCCAGGTCTTTGTTTTCACGAGCCTTTGTCTTTGTTTTTCGCGGTTCATTTAAATTTCGTGCCGTTATCACTGCGGCTATATCGTCAGCAAAAGCTACTAAATGTGAATCACCTGGAATTTCCATTTCTAGAATTCTATTGTGATTTAGATTCCAAAGATCAGGTCCAAGTATGGAGTTCGATAATACCATGTCATCCTGTACACAAAGTTTGGAGCTGTATTTGTCCACAAATTGTGGATGTGAGTGTAGGTGTAGGTGTAGGTGCGCGTATTATGAGTATTGTTGGTAAAAAATTTTGAAATGAAATAAAAAAAACAATTAGATTTCAATAAAACAAAAAATATTTTGAAAATAATGCTAAAAAGCACCTCAATGCTGCCATCATAAAGCACTTTTTTTAATTATCGTCTTATGGTATGTATATAGGGGTATGTATTAAATAAACTAGGTTGTTTTTTTCATATATCAATTATATTGAGGTTGCAATCTATTGCAAAACCAAAATCAGCTATTTTGAATAGGTATTTGAAATGATCTAATGATATAACATATTTTTCCAATAAAAAGTTTGAGGGTCTCTCAAAGATTTTATTTTTACCGATATTTCGATTAAAATGATGTTGACTATAGATTATAGTCGAAATATCGGTAAAAATAAAATCTATTAAAAATAAATAAATATTTTTTAAAAACCTTATTATTTAACTATTGACCAATTAGCCCTTAAAAAAAACAAAATTAATTATGAATAAAAAACAAATATTTAATTAATTCTAATGAATAGTCACTGAACTGCGTGAAGTTTATTAAATAATTAATAAAAGAGAAAACGCATTCCTCTTAAAATATACTAAGGTTCAGAATAAAAACTGCACCGCGCTGCTTACAAAGTTGCATGCTTTGTAAATAACATTAAATAACATTCACATTGGGACTATGTTCAATATTGAATAAACACAAAACATACAAACAAATACAAAAATAAAAGAGAAAACAAGCCCCGCAGAATATGTACGTAAAATAATCATAACTCTTAAATTAATGCGTGCAAGCGGTTCAATGAAAAAAGTGAACCTCCAATGTTATGCAAAGTAAATACAAAAGAGAAAAGAAATGACTGAGCGAAAATCGCTTTACATTTGACTAGAGGTTCATTATATTAAACTGAACCATAAGTTTATACGAACCGTGCAGTTTTATATGAGCAAATGGTTCAGTTTAAAAACTGAACCGCGTATAGTAAATACAAATTTTTTTTTTTTTTTTTTTTTTTTTATTATAAATTGTGTTATTATTATATATGATTTTAAAGAACAATAAATAAAACAAAACAAGACATAAAGCAACTAGTTATTAGATAACTAACAAGCAATTTAAATTTAAATAAATTAGGCGATTCCACGCAATAATAAATTAATTGTACTATATTTCAATGATTTAAGCCCAAAGATCGCACGGCTTTCGGCGCTTTAGACGGCGTATTGGCTCAGTTGTCGCTAGTAAATGCGCCTCAGCATTTATGTGACAACTAAGTCTATCTTGGTGTGATTTGGCTTTGGTATGAATTTCTTCCTGTACTGTTGTCACTCCAAGGTCACGGTGTAAGTCAGAATTTCTCACGTACCATGGCGCGTTTGTTACACTCCGTAGCATGAAATTTTGGAATCTTTGGATGATGGAAATTTGTGTTCTGCTTGCGCAACCCCATAGCTGTATTCCATATGTCCAGATTGGCTGGAGCATTTGTTTGTATAATACAAGTTTATTGAAAAGCGATAGTTTTGATTTTTTGCCGATTAACCATTTCAACGATTTGAATTTAAGATCTAATTCACTTCTTTTCTTTTTTATGTGCTCGCTCCATCTTAGTTTAGCGTCCAAAGTCATACCCAAGTATTTCGCAGTATTCGCGTGAGGGATTTGTGCTTCATCGATGTAGACAGGTATATGACTGATGCTTCGATTTGTGAAATTTACATGCACTGATTTTTCTTTATTCAGATTAATTTTCCATTTTTTTGTCCAAGCAATTATACTGTCCATACTATTTTGCAAATTATTAGCTGCTATTACTGCGCTTTCTCCAACTGCAAGGACTGCAGTATCATCAGCAAAAGTTGCTGTGAACGTTGTTGCACTCGTTGGCAAGTCGTGTGTATAAATCAGATATAAGAGAGGACCCAAGACACTACCTTGCGGAACTCCAGCGTTAATTTTATGCAGTTTACTATAGGTATCACCGTGCTTTACTCGAAAGTAACGATCAGATAAGTAAGAGGAGATTATGTCATAATACTCCGTTGGGAGAATATTTTTACTTTGGTAAGCAATCCGGAGTGCCAGACTTTATCGAAAGCCTGCGACACATCTAAAAACACAGCTGAGCAGATTTTTTTTTCCTCAAGAGCTTTTTCTACTACATTGGTAATCCTATGGACTTGATCTATGGTGGAGTGATTGCACCTAAAACCAAACTGATGTAAAGGTATTATGTTTTGACTTTCAATCAGAGGAAGGATTCTTTTCAGTAAGACTTTTTCAAATATTTTTGAAAGTACAGGCAGAAGTGCTATTGGTCTGTAACCACTTACGTCATTAATATCCTTTCCTGGCTTATGTACCATGATAATTTCAGATACTTTCCACAGGGATGGAAGGGTTCGCATTTGTATTATAGCGTTAAATATATTCGTAATTTTAACTAGGCATTTTGCAGGAATTTCTTTTAAAACTTCAGCACTTATCAATTCATAACCTGGGGTTTTTTTTAGCTTAAGTTCATTTTTAATAATCATCATTACCTCAAGCTCGGTTGTTGGTGGAATACATGATGAATGTGCTGTCCTAGGAGGGCAGATTACTGCATTGTTAACGTTTTCGTCTATGGAAAACACTTTTGACAGGTGTTCGGAAAAGACCTCCACTTTTTCCTCATCGCTTTTAGCCCATTGATTAGCGTGATTTTTAATTGGAGCTTTGTGTACTAAAGGTCGCTTAAGGTTTCGTGTGCATTTCCAGAGAGAATAGTTGGTAGCACGATCATTACTTAAGTTAGATAGGTAGTAGTTGAATTGATTATTTTTAAATTGCTTGATTTTTAGGCTGAGTTCTTTTGCAAGTCTGTTAAGAATGGCTTTGTCTGCTGGAAATCTGGATTGCTGCCACTTTTTCCGCATCTTTCTTTTTTCCCGCATAAGATCCACAATGACTTTTGGGTATTTATGAGGATAGGTTGCATTCCTTAATGTGGGCGTGCTGCACCAAGCCGCATGTTGTAGTAAATTTGTAAGGTTCAAAATTTCGCTTTCAAGATCATTTTCTTCACAAATTTCTTTTGAAGCAATGGTGTTTTCATTAAGGATTCTTCTGAAGTAACTCCAATCTGTATATTTATTTTCAAGTTTTAGACATTTTTTATTTATTAAGGCAGATTCGAAGAGGGTTATGTAGAGAGGGGAATGGTCGGATCTTAGTTCTACTCCATCTGTTATTTTTAAATTGTAGGACGAAATTTGCTTGGTTATAAAGAAATCGAGTAGATCAGGCACCTTTGTTGGGTCAGTTGGCCAATAGGTTGGGTTCCCGGATGACAAGCATTCGCAGCCAGTTTGCTGTATAGCTTTGAGGAGTTCTCTACCTTTCGTTGTAATTAAGCGAGAGCCCCAATGCGTATGTTTAGCGTTGAAATCGCCACCCATAATGAAGCGATGCTTATGAGTTTCTATAAGATCATTGTATTGTTCGGATTTAATTGAATGTCTTGGAGGACTGTATACCGATGTTAGTAGTAATTTGCTTTGTAAGTCAAGGACAACAGTTATTGCCTGGAATTCCTCTTTGGATATTTTTGTAGACTCGTAATGTTTTAATGATTTTTTAATTAAAATAGCACTTCCTCCGCGAGCGCAATTACTAGGATGAACTGCGCTATATACTTCGTAATTCTTTAGTTTAACATATGTTTGGTTAGTAAAATGAGTTTCGCTAATTAAGCAAACATCAACATCTTTGACTGATAGGACTGTTTCAAGCTCTCTAAGGTGTTGAAGAAGACCGTTCGAGTTCCATAGCATTATTTTTATATAACTAAGCATTATTTGTTTTGTTGAGTTTTTGCTCTAGCCTAGTCAAGCGTTTGTCCAATGCTTTATAAAAGTTTTCTTGAGTAGTGATTTTTTCCAGTATTTGTGTTAGTATTTTGTAATTACCATCGTCCTCAGTGTTGGATTGAACTACATCCGAATATGTTTTTTTATTATTAAGCGATTTTGGGTTTTTATTTAGAACATCAGTTTGATTATTTTCAGGTTGGTTTTCAGCCGATATATGATTACGCTGTTTACCTTTGTTTTGTTCACCAATTTTTTTGTTTCTCAATTTTTGAAGTTCTTTGGCTACTATACAACCTCTGTAATTGGCCGGGTGTCCCTCACCGCAGTTGCAACATTTTGGTTGGTGCTGATCAGGTTTGTTGCATTCTGCAGTACTAAATACAAAGTAAATAAATACAAAGTAAAATAGTAAATGAATGCATGAGAGTTTCTTACTCTTATGTAAAGGTTAGAAATAAACCAAAAACAAAGTCATTATTGCAATTTTATACTAGCAAATGGTAAAAGTAAAGAAAAAAATTAAAGAAATTGGAAGTGAAAAATAATATTTAGAAATGGATAAATGTGTGATTAAAGATTTGATTCAAATATCTTTTTTTAAACGATCTTCTGAAAAAAAGGTTTTAATTCATAAAATAAATAGACTAACTCCAGATATGAAGAATTTGGTACCTTATGTAAAAATGTCGAAATCTGTGGTAACATAAGTCGCCGTTTTCCTACAGCTATTTATCATAAAAACCAGTGGATCACAGGCTGCGAACATTAAAATAAATTGTTTTGTTGGTCTTGTCCTCCAAAACATTTCTTCCACTAATCCCCAATATGCATATGGGTTAAAAATGGAAGTAACTAAAATATGTATACTGTTCATAACTTAAACTCAAGAAAGACAACTCAAAGGTATTATTTTATATCAACTTAAGTTCTAATATAACATTTCTTATTATGTAGAATTTTAAATTATATTGATATGATATGAAAATATAAATGTTTTTGTTTAAAACTTCACGAATGTTTTAATATTATTTAAACATTTCTTCTGTATTAATTGTTCACACTAACTCTGTAACTATATAACTACCATATTAATTTATTTATTGCTCTATATTTCATAAGGAATTGCATAGATCATAAATAAACTAAATAATATACAAATTATATTCACTTCATTTTAAATATATTTAATTAAATTAAATATAATCACAATACAAAGAAACACAGAATTTAATTAGGGTTCGTGATAACATATTTTTAAATACATTATTGTACTATAACAAAAATATTTTGTCTGAACTTCATTTTATGAATAGTTATACTCGAATGCAAGAAAAATTAAAACGTGAAATACTGTGCTTCAAACTCTTTCAATTTCAACAAAACGTTCTTGTTTGTATTGGTCTTTGTAGCCGGCTACATACTTCAAACGTCCAGAATACTGACGATTCATAATTCTTTTCACAAGCTGTGGGTGATCTGTTCCCAGCTCCAACCAAAGTTTGCCACCAGAACGCAAATACAAAGAAGCCAAATTAAACACTAATCGTGCTACTTTTAAACCATCTGGTCCACCATCTAAAGCGTTCAGATTTTCATATCTGTAAAATTCCAAATTTTTTATTAAGATTTCAAATAAAACCCACATCAAATATAAGTCCAAAAATATTTAAATAAATTAATATTATTTAAAATGTACATACGCAGTAACTTCTGGTTGCAGATATTGAAATTCTTCAGTTTTTACATAAGGAGGATTTGATATAATTACATCAAAGGTTTTTTCACATAGTTCGGGTGGCAAGTAATTATCTGCTTCCATTATGTGATTGAAAACTTCAAACCGATCCTCTAAATCCAATAGTTTTACATTTTCTTTAGCTAAATGTGTAGCTGTAAGGCTGCGTTCAATAGCAAAGCTACGTACCTGTGGCAATTCATGCAGTATGGCCAATGACATTGCTCCCGACCCACAACCGACTTCAAGTAGATTAAGTTCACTAACATCGCGGTACTCATTTATAACTTTTTGCACAAACTCTTCAGTTTCCGGGCGTGGAATAAACACAGTCGGTGCAGTTCTCAGTGTTATGTTCATGAAATCCCATTCACCGATTATGTACTGCAATGGCATACGTCCGCAACGTGCTTCGCATAAGCGATTTAATTCCTGCACTTGCTTATCATTCAAAGATGTTGACAGGTAATCCGAAATGGTATTCTAAACAACCATTTGTTTATAAAGAACTGAATGTTATTATTAACCGACAACAGAATAAGCAAGACAATTGTTTACTTACAAATTTTTGGTTGTGACTGAAAATGTACGCGGAATGTTACGCATTGGTATTTGTATTTGTTTTAATAAATTTTGCAATACATTTATCAATATGATATAAATATTTTTATTCAAAATTTTGGTTTTTAATAGAAGTCTCTTTGCTGCATTACTTAATGACAAGAAATGTATAGCATAATATAAAATGTCAAAAAATCATCAGCTGATAAAATTAATGTCATTTCTACAGTTTGAATAGCACAATAAGCTTTTTTTTTAACATTTTGTTAAACTTGTTTGAATGTTGGTGATAAAAATTTTTATTTTGATGTGTTTTACTTTGATATATGTACTTTCTTAATCAATTATTACATAATTTAAATTAGTTAAATTATTACTAAAGAGATAATTGATACGAATTAAAATCACAAAATTTAATATAGCTAACGCTTGTAGCCTATGAAATTCCTCTAAGCAAGCTATGTTTACGAAAGTCTTGGTAAGTTTTCGATTAATTAATGTGGGATGACTTTTCACGCAAGTCAATTAAATGCAATTTTCATCATCGGTAATAAATGTGGAGTAGAAGGTATAACAGTTTAATTATTTTACGAGTGTAATAAAATTATATTGAAATTAACAAATGTTAACTGTCAAATGTTGTTTGACGGGTGAAATGCATATGACGTTTGCAGTATTTGAGATTGTGTGTTTAAAATAAACGTTATTATTTGCCATTATCACTACACACTGCAAAAATATTATTTACATAATTTCTACTATTATAATTAAATATTCCATGAGTGTTTTCTCAAATATAAATCCAATTTTTATTTGTTGGTTACTTAGTTCTATTTTGCTGCATGACTGGAAATAAACCTGACAGATCTGATTTGCTTCTGTACGGCACATGCACGACGCCAGCCTAATACTTTCTTTTTTGCTTTCTTTTTTGAAGAATCTGGCGAACTTTAGGACCTCCCTCTGAATAGCATCATAAGCTTTACCAAAGGTTCATGCGTCAAGGTTTTAACCCATTAGGTTTTAATAATACAGTAGTACAATGGATAGGCCTAAGTGGATCTCCTTTTGATTACCGGTATAATTTAACCTAACCTAACCTGTATTTCTTTCATTCAAATCTTATTTTAATCTAAGTCGACATAAAATATCTGAAATTTTTAAAAAAGTCAAATTTAAGAACATTATTTGGTATTATAAAATTTTTTCTTCAACAGTGAACATCGAAAAACGGAAACGTCAAACATTTTCTATATCCGTTTGATTCATAAAAACATAATTAGACTATAATTAAAAATGTCAGCAACAACAGCAGCCACAGCAGCAGGGGGAGGCACGTATGTGTGCGATGACGATGAATCGGGTGCCATACTTTTATTTAAGGCTGACGAAACTACGATCCTTGTTATTTGCGTTGTCGCTGTTATTTTTCTGTTCTATAAGGTTATTTGGAATGGTGGTAATGGATTTGGATTCGGAATAGCTGGAGAGAAACGCAGGATCTTAGATCTTAAGAACGAACCGAATCGTAGATGCGGTGTTCCACAGATGACTTGAACTAAACCAGACGAACAGAACAAGGACGAATAGGGTAATGTGACTGGCTGTGTATTCGAAACAATTATTTTATGTTAAGTTTAAGTAAATAAAAATTATCTGTGTAAAAATCTGTTACATGACCCACGAAGTATATAAGTTGTTTCTATTTCGAGGGGATCAGGTTCAAAAATCAACAAGACAGTAATTTGTTGAAAGTTTTCAATATACATATATATATATATATAGATATATATATATATATATATATATATATATATATATATATATATATATATATATATATGACATAATTTTTATATTTTCCAAACGAACTAATTTTACAGTTAGACTTTTCAAGCTTTGTACACAAATAAAAGCAATAAAATCATTATTACAAAGTCGCTTTGAGTTGGAAATAACAATCGATGCCGTTTTGTTTTTGTACTCATATACTTCATGATGTCCTTCAGCCACACTTTCAGTAACTGATGTTGTCTTCAATTCTTCTTGTATTTTCGTTACTACCAAACTTTGGTACGACCTCAAGTTTTTTTGGTCATCAGCCGATCCATCAATAAACCCAGTAATAGTTATCAATTGCTGGAGACTTTTTCTACTTTGTAAAAGCTTCTTTCCAAGTCTTCAATAGTTGCAAAATAGAAATCATTGCCAACCTGACTTCGTTTTTGTTAAACCCTGTCTTTTTGAAACACTTTGTCTTTTGAAACATTGAATTTAATTTTTCTGAAATTAAAACTATAGAGTATAATACTTTTGATTGTATTATAAATCAATATGAATATTTTGTATAATTCTTTAAACTCTGTGAGTATAATGAATTCATTTTATAGTGCCGTCTAACTCATCGATTTTATGATGTGATCCAAGAACCTGAATAAATGCTTTATTCAAGTATTGAACTAAATAGAAGAAATAAACAGGGTTTTAATTTAAAAAGTATTTAATAACAGTTTCTATTATTGAGTCATAAGGTTTAAAATGTATAATATATACCTATATAAAACCGAAAAAATTAATATATCAATTGATGTATCATACAAACATTCAATGCTCAAACTAGCTCATATATATTTAATAAAATAAAGGAAGTCAAAAATACTAGATAACTGTACTGAAACCGACGGGATAAAATATTAAAGACGAACGCAAGAACAATTTCACGAGAGAATTGCGAAAACATGGATAAATCCTAACAAATAATACTTAAAATGTTGAGGAAGTCGTAAGGTCAGTGCTGGCAAACAGCACCAAAATGTTAAGCTTCTGTAAAATGACTGTAAATGTGGATTATTAGAGAAATCCTTCACCTCCGACATAAAAAATGTCACACTGTTTATAAAATATCCGAAATAATTGAATTCACATTCATTACCAAGCAAGTCCCCTCACTGCGCTCACACAAACAGCCATTGCTACACTAAACTCATATACAAGTACTAAAAAATAACCTCAAAATGTCATTTACCTAGTCCAGGAACGAGAAAAAATACAATAATAGAAAATTATGGAAATTAAGGAAAAGTAAGTAGCAAATAAAAATACTTAAACCATAAACGCATAGGAACTTCTCAAAAAAATCTTTCTAAGAGCACTTTTAAGTGTTAGTTTAGATCAAATAAAGCTTTTTATACAATGTCGCACTAGACTTTTCAAGTCCTATTAAATTTCATTGAAAAAGAATTGCAAAAAAATTACCTGCACGGTGTCGCAGTTCTATTTTTCCAAAAGAACAACAACTGTGTGTGACTTTACGGTATTTGGCCACTGGAGAAAGCTTCAAAATCTTGGAGTACCAATCCAAAATATCGCATTCACATGTGTTAGCAATTTTTTGTAAATTGTACATCTTGTACAAAATATTTGTGACATTTTATTATCAAATGTGCCAAATAAAATATTGTTATGGTGCAACCCTAATGACTTGGTGATTTGGCCTGCAGAGCCTAATAACCAAAGAAGATTCTCTGGTAGTCACCTTGCCTGGCTTCTCTTTTGATTTTACTCTGTAGCTGCCCATGACAAATTTGAAGAATTTGTTTTCATAGAATTTGTTTTCATAGTTTTCATAGAAAGCAACAATAATTGGTGACTATGGCAGAAATCATAATATGCTCCTAAGATAAGCCATATTTTAGCGGAGTTAGGGGCAAGTCATTATCGCAGTCACATCGCAGCAATTGTTGTTGTTTACAATTTAAAATGAAATCAGCTGCCAGTGTCATACTTATTTTGTATTGAAAACAATAGCAATTGCTGTGACGTGACTGCAATCATGACATGACTCTTAGTGAAATAAACATAACAATTTCCTAACTTTTGTAATTAAATAACAAAATTCATATAAAATAACAATATAGAATTTATAAAAAAATATAAATTCAAATATAAACAATAATAATTATTCTTGTTGGTAGGGTGCATAGAATGGGTACGTTTAAATCTGCAAGATTACTGGTTTCTCAAAATTTCAATTGATTTAGGTTTATTTTCAAAAGTAATTAAAAGTATTTAGAGGAATTGCACAGGCTACAAGCGTTAGTTATATTGAATTTTATCATTCAAAGTGAAACACATCAAAATAAAAATAATTATCACCAATATTCAGAAAAGTTTCATAAAATGTCAAACAAATTTCTAAACAAATAACTTGACATTTTTAAATTTAAATGCTTACAGCGCTATTCAAACTGTAGAAATGACATTAATTTCATCAGCTGATGATTATTTGACATTTTATGTTGTGCTATACATTTCTTGCCATTAAGTAACGCAGCAAAGAGACTTCTATTAAAAACCAAAATTTTGAATAAAAATATTTACAGCACTTTGATAACTATGTTGCAAAATTTAATTAAACAAATACAAATACCAATGCGTAACATTCCGCGTACGTTTTCAGTCACAACCAAAAATTTCTCCCTTAAATCAGAAGAAGCCGCACCGATTGGAGTTGAGGATGCAATCAAGGATTGGCGTGGCAGGCTTAGGAAAGCCGGTGTTGGAGATATCGATTTCAATTTAAAATGCATTGTAGCACATGTATTGAAACGTAAATTTGTAAGTAAACAATTGTCTTGCTTATTCTGTTGGCGGTTAATAATAACATTCAGTTCTTTATAAACAAATGGTTGTTTAGAATACCATTTCGGATTACCTGTCAACATCTTTGAATGATAAGCAAGTGCAGGAATTAAATCGCTTATGCGAAGCACGTTGCGGACGTATGCCATTGCAGTACATAATCGGTGAATGGGATTTCATGAACATAACACTGAGAACTGCACCGACTGTGTTTATTCCACGCCCGGAAACTGAAGAGTTTGTACAAAAAGTTATAAATGAGTACCGCGATGTTAGTGAACTTAATCTACTTGAAGTCGGTTGTGGGTCGGGAGCAATGTCATTGGCCATACTGCATGAATTGCCACAGGTACGTAGCTTTGCCATTGAACGCAGCCTTACAGCTACACATTTAGCTAAAGAAAATGCAAAACTATTGGATTTAGAGGATCGGTTTGAAGTATTCAATCACATAATGGAAGCAGATAATTACTTGCCACCCGAACTATGTGAAAAAACCTTTGATGTAATTATATCAAATCCTCCTTATGTAAAAACTGAAGAATTTCAATATCTGCAACCAGAAGTTACTGCGTATGTACATTTTAAATAATATTAATTTATTTAAATATTTTTGGACTTATATTTGATGTGGGTTTTATTTGAAATCTTAATAAAAAATTTGGAATTTTACAGATATGAAAATCTGAACGCTTTAGATGGTGGACCAGATGGTTTAAAAGTAGCACGATTAGTGTTTAATTTGGCTTCTTTGTATTTGCGTTTTGGTGGCAAACTTTGGTTGGAGCTGGGAACAGATCACCCACAGCTTGTGAAAAGAATTATGAATCGTCAGTATTCTGGGCGTTTGAAGTATATAGCCGGCTACAAAGACCAATACAAACAAGAACGTTTTGTTGAAATTGAAAGAGTTTGAAGTACAGTATTTCACGTTTTAATTTTTCTTGCATTCGAGTATAACTATTAGAATTGAATTAGAACTTCATAAAATGGAGTTCAGACAAAATATTTTTGTTATAGTACAATAATGTATTTAAAAATATGTTATCACGAACCCTAATGAAGTTCTGTGTTTCTTTGTATTGTGATTATATTTAATTTAATTAAATATATTTAAAATGAAGTGAATATAATTTGTATATTATTTAGTTTATTAGTTTATTTATGATCTATACAATTCCTTATGAAATATAAATAAATTAAATAAATTAATAGTTATATAGTTACAGAGTTAGTGTGAACAATTAATACAGAAGAAATGCTTAAATAATATTAAAATATTCGTGAAGTTTTAAACAAAAACATTTATATTTTCATATCATATCAATATAATTGAAAACTCTACATAATAAGAAATGTTATATTAGAACTTAAGTTGATATAAAATTTTACCTTTGAGTTGTCTTTCTTGAGTTTTAAGTTATAAACAGTATACATATTTTAGTTACTTCCATTTTTAACCCAAATGCATATTGGGGATTAGTGGAAGAAAAAGTAAAGGATGCATTTCATTAACTTATTGAAATGTTAGTTTCCGTACTTAGAAATATGCCGGCAGTGTGCACAACCCAAGAAAATTTTATCCTTATACTACAGGTTCTCCTTTAAGTAAAATAAGAGTTTACGCCAGTCCATCCAATTCAGCAAAGCATAGCATTCCATTAGTCCTTCAATTAATATATATTTGGTCAAGTATATCTTATTTCATCTTATTTGACGAGTAGACGGTCAGCTTCTCCTAAGATGAATGATGTCTTATTTTTTGTATATGACAAAGAGTTTGGTTGGAACTAAAATTTTGTGCATGAGGAGGTGGTTTATCTTTAAGTGCTCAGTTTTTAGTTTAAGTTCATTGATATAGCCAATGAATCGTACTTACTGATATAGTTTCACTCACTTTAATTATTTAGTTTTTAATACATTTTAATAAAATATTAATTCTACACAAAATTATTAACTTAGTTATGTACATAATTAGAGTATCAAAGAATAGATCGAACAGTTAGTCTGTGTAAGTTTAGTGAAACGTTCATACTGCGGTAAAGTTAGATATGGTAAATATTAAGAATAGATGAGCACATTCTATCTACAATAGCTATTTTGGTCGTGTCAAATGTACTTCACTAACTTAATTCGTACATCTAACTTTCACTCAGTCAGTCAGCAACCTTTTTAATGCTACATATGACATCGTAGTTCAGTAACCTTGTCCATATTGGAATCTGTTTTCAGCGACGTATTGTCTTTTAAATATAAAACTTTAATCAGTGCGATACTTATGTTCTCTCCATCTTCACAAACGTTGAAGTCAGCATATGAAAAATAATATTCAATATTAAGAATATATCTGGTTGAAAAATTCATGTATCTCTCAAGACTGCTTTGTAAAGCATCAATTATATCTCAAAAAAAAAAAATACATTTCCGTCGTGCCGCGTTAGTCGCATGTTTGGACTCAAACCGTTCACACAAACTTTATTTATAGGAAGTTACCTATTGTCACTTCTCTAAAAATAGACGTGAGGAAAAAGACCTAAACTGAACTTAGACGAAAGAGTTTTGCCACCGTCTATTTAAATTGTACTCGGTTTTTCGCGTTATACTTAGCGTAGTTGACTGAGCATCTAATGAATTATTAATTTTATCAATATTTTTAATGTTTAATAAAATAGTTTTGAATTACAGGAATACATATAAATATATATCTAAAATATGTAAAATCATATCGTAAGACATTTTTTGTATGCTTTAGGCATAAAGAAAACAACCTGCAAGTAATTGTGAAGATATTACTGAAATAATACTATAAAAGGATAACACCTTTTTTATTTTAACTCACCAAAGCAATTGGTATGATGACATTCACAAGCTGCTTGGTGATTTAGTTGTAGCTCAATTGATAGACGCATCTCCACTCTGTGCGAATGCGATAATTGCATTACCTCTATGGGTAAACGCTATCACCACGTCATTCTGGTTCGTAGAAAAAATTTTGTTAACGTGACATTGAATATGATTCTATAGTGTTATTACGAAGAGGACTGAACGGTGTGATATTCTCAAATGTTTGTTTGAATGTTACAGTTTTCTCAACTATCATTTCTTTTTAGACATTTTTCTGAGCTTGTAGTTTAGAGATTGACACAGTCTTCCGCGGGTACACTTATCATTACTGTGCAGCCGCTTCAAGAGAGTAATCTTGGGAGAGAACTCGGTAATTTTTCTATAGAAAGGGTTGCAGATAGTTTAGATTACTTCACAGATGTTATTTAAACATACATATTTGTACAAAATAATTTATGTGTAAATGTGATTATTTGTATTTGTATGGTAAAGTATTGAGGAATATCAGAGTATCAGAGTCAATTTTGACTATCAATTGGCAAAGAACAAGCCCTTCAAGGTGAAACTCTCAACCAAGTATGCAGTTTGTTTAAATTCTGTCTATTAATTATCATTCAGATTCAAGTATCTACAAAGATAGAATATATGTATGCATTTCGAGTAATATTTATTTTTTAGCATACTCTGGTCTTTGGGTACAAATAAAAAGAAAAATTATACTTTTTATTTTATCATTTACCCGACGTTTCGATGGAATTTGCCAACATCTTCAAAGATATCTGAAATTTTATTATATTTATTATTTGAAATTATAATAATGAGAAACTTTTCTGAAATTATAGCAATTACAAACAAAACCAAAAGCAATATAAATATAGTCATCAGTAGCGAGGCGTCAGCTTTTTGGTAAGGTGTTCACAATTTGATCAAAACAGAATTCCGACTATAACGTATTCCCCCTACTCCTGAGTTTTGTCTTTCCACAAGCAAATAGCGTACAAGACCAACAAAACAATTTATTTTAATGTTCGCAGCCTGTGATCCACTGGTTTTTATGGTAAATAGCTATAGGAAAACGGCGACTTATGTTACCACAGATTTCGACATTTTTACATCAGGTACGAAATTTTTCATATCTGGAGTTAGTCTATTTATTTTATGAATTAAAACCTTTTTTTCAGAAGATCGTTTAAAAAAAGATATTTGAATCAAATCTTTAATCACACATTTATCCATTTCTAAATATTATTTTTCACTTCAAATTTCTTTAATTTTTTTCTTTACTTTTACCATTTGCTAGTATAAAATTGCAATAATGACTTTGTTTTTGATTTATTTCCAACCTTTACATAACAGTAAGAAACTCTCATGCATTCATTTACTCTTTTACTTTGTATTTACTATACGCGGTTCAGTTTTTTAACTGAACCATTTGCTCATATAAAACTGCACGGTTTGTATAAACTTATGGTTCAGTTTAGTCGAATGAACCTCTAGTCAAATGTAAAGCGATTTTCGCTCAGTCATTTCTTTTCGCTTTTGTATTTACTTTGCATAACATTGGAGGTTCACTTTTTTTATTGAACCGCTTGCACGCATTAATTTAAGAGTTATGATTATTTTACGTATATATTTTGCGGGGCTTGTTTTCTCTTTTATTTTTGTATTTGTTTGTATGTTTTGTGTTTATTCAATATTGAACATAGTCCCAATGTGAATATTATTTAATTTGCATGCTTTGTAAGCAGCGCGGTGCAGTTTTTATTCTGAACCTTAGTATATTTTAAGAGGAATGTGTTTTCTCTTTTATTAATTATAAGTAATGTTGGGTGTAACTAACATATGTATGTGTGATTTTGTTCGTATTGTACGTTTTGTGTTTATGTTAATCTGTTTGGAAAAGCTATTATAAAAAATGTTAAGTAGCAAAATAGCGAGATTATTCACCTAATAAAAAAAAAGATCTAAAAAGGAAGCTTTGTTAAGGTGTTCAGTGAACACTCTGAACCATTCGATGCCTCGCCTCTGATAGTCATATTCATATTTGTTTTAATTTAAAAACAATCATTTTTTTTAAATTATTTTTTAAAACAAGACTGTTCGTCTAAGTACCGAGTGGCTCCATTTATTTGTTCTAGAAGTTGGATTGCTTTAAAAGCTTTTATTTTTGTCTGAAGAGTAACTTAATCAGTTAATCGGATTTCCATCTGGCCATTGCTGATCGAAAACTGAATGGCGAATCACTAGCACTATGTTAGGAGTTTCCTAGGGACAACAGTGGAAGCTCGGACTAGTTGGTCTGGACATATGACCATTCGTATGGCCTTTGCTGACGATTACCATGTGGATGGGTGAATGACGTTGGGTAAAGTGACAATGGGCTTATGCTGGCATAGGGTAACTTTCGGACTGCTATTTGGCTAAAGCTGATGGAGGAATGGATAACGAGTTACCATCACTGTTGGAAGATGTGTGGGTTATACGAGCATTTGCCAATTGCTGACGAGCGTGACCAGACATAGCATCAGGGAAGAGATCTTTGCCTGGCTATAGCTGGCAAAGGTATACATAACTTTCAATGCTATTGAATTTGATACTTATGCTATTTGAAATTCTGCACTGTTGAAGGTCCAATACCCGCACATCTTCAAACGAAACTATTCGCCATGGTAGATTCCAGCAGTCCAACGCCCACACATCTTCAAAACACTCTACTCGCAACGGTGGTTCCAGCGCAACGGTTGTTCCAGCGAGTTCAACGCTTACGCTACATGAAATTTTGTTTCGTTGTAAAACTCATTGCAGCGATAACTTTTTATAGCATTTTGAAGCTTAGGTATATATATATTTAATATAGAATTTAATATAAAAGAATTTAATAAAGAATAAAAATTTTAGCTTAATCTTAATTTTTTCGAAAGACGCACTAACTATATGTTGCAAATATTTTCGAATGGTTGTCACTGTCACTTGTTCAGCTACTTCGTACTTTGCCCCAACCAGAGGATCCATGTCCTCAATAAATTAATATTTGGTGATAATGATTAAATTTTTTGTAGTCCGTAGAGATCTTGCATTTATATAGATAAATGAGACCGAACGTTTTAAATTTGTCTTCAAAACTAACTATATTTTTATTAAAAAAAATCTTACAATAATAATATACTTAATAATAATAATATACTTAAACAAGGAATAAAGTTGATAATAGTTTGAT